AAGCAGAGATGTTGGTGCCAGCGAGGCCACTTTGCTGCTCATCTCCCATCTGTTGGACAGCTGGACAAGGGAACAGCTGCCAGTCAAGGCTGTTTTGCCTGGCACTATCAGATCTGTTGGCATTCCACACCACATGCCAGCTGGTGCCGGCTCTGGTTGAATAGGTCTTGTTTGGGTAGGCGAAAGCCCCAGTTGCTGTTAGTGCAGCCATGAGCCTCAGTACCCTTCCGAATGCAAGAGTGAAGGTCAGAGCCAGAGAGTAAACCAAACTCACCTTCGAAAAAAATGTTGATTCTGGTTTTGTGGAACCAGGGCCTGCATTAATGTGAGATGGAGCAGTGAGTGCACCCCACATTTACCCCTGCTCAACTGTGTGACCTCAGACAGTCACCTCGCCTCACCTAGCTCAGCCTACAGGTCCCTGCGCTGCAGTGGCAGTAGCATCTGTACCGTAGTTGTGTTGGGAAGATGGCATGAGTGTGTCTGACAGAGCCTGGCACGCATTGGACCGTCAGTGAGTATGAATTGGTCCAGAAGCCACCATAGCCTGGGGCGTGGTTTAATTTCCAGAAGACATCCCCCTGAGGTTCTTGTTATCCATCTTCAATTATCTAAGGGACTAGAAGGAGAGAGGGAATTAGACATGACTGTGTTTTATTCCAGAGGGAAGAAATAAGACCAAAGTTCTAGTAGTTGCAGGATAATAATACCTTGTAGTTCAAATTCGAAGCAACTTTCTTGAACCCAAAGCACTGAAGAGTTGGGAAAATCCGGAGTGAAGTTCTACACAGAAGACTCATGGAAAAAGGTAGAGGCACCATCTCTTTGAACGATAAGGGAGGCGCCCCTTTCACCTCCACCCTTTTATTCTCCTTGCCTTTCCTTTATATTTCTGGTTATTTCTTGTTCCAAGTGAATTGTGTAAGAATAAAGTGATTAATACATCTCCTTATGCTAAAGAGGCATGATGTTACAAGTCAGTGCTGTATAAAATATTCAAAAAGTGTGTTGGGGAAGACAGTGAGCAGGAGAGCGAATGAAAATCTGCCACTAGCCATCCAGAAAAAAAGAAAAACAAAAAGGTGTTGCCCTCCTGGGGACATGTAATGTGAGCATTGCTCACTAGGCTTCACTCCCCCTGAAGTAGAAAGAGTAACTTCAGCATCTTTATCACATATGCAATATTTTTTACATGCTATGCATTTGGCCTCTGTCATTTGCTAGGGCTGCTGTCACAAGTGTCACAAGTTTGGTGGCTTAAACAACAAAAATGTATTGCCTCAGTAAGTTCAGAGGCTTGAAGTTCAAAATCAAGGTGTTGATGAGGTTGGTTCCCTCGGGGGACTGGGAGAGAGATTACGTGCCATGCTTATCCCTTAGGTGCTGTTGGATTGCTGATCATCTGGGGCACTCTTTGTCCTGTGGAAGCATCACCCTGCCCTCCACATTCATCTTCCCAGTGTTCTCCACTGTGTGTGTCTCTGGCTGTAAATGGCCCCTTTCTCTAAGCATGCAGTTATATTGGGATAGGGCCCAACCTAAGGACCTCTGTTTAATTACCTATGCAGTGACCCCATTTCCAAGTATGGTCACATTCTGAGGTACTGGGGTTAGGACTTCTATCTATGAATTTTGAAGGGACACAACCCCAAACGGGACTTTACATGTGGTATATGCTTAGTAATGCTTTCTGTACAAGTGGAGCTGAAATCAGTGACCAAGTCTCAGAATTAGAAATAAGTAAGTTGATGGAATGAGCTCCATCTCTCCTATGCCTGGATACCCTCTGTACTGCAGGCTTTCTTTAGATTCTTCCAGCGATGCCTGTAAGTGTTAGAATTTGTTTCATTGATTTATCTCCAAGGTTTGATGAGTGTAGGCAGGCTGGGGAAAGCTGAGGAAAGAGGATCCTAAAATAATAAATGATTGCTTAAAGAATTTGAACCCCTTTGCTCGCTAGGATGTTATTTATGACAGTTGTTGAACTATCAAAAGCAAAAATCTTTAGAAAGTAAATAGGTAATATTTGCTGAGCACTTATTATGTGTCAGATTCTGTACTAAGTGGTTTCTATGATTGGATGAAAACAACTCATCCTTGTGGAAGAGTTACTGTGCATACCCATTGTAAAGAGGGGAACTGAGTTCTGAAGTTCTCATGCAATTTGCCCAAGATCACACTGCGTGCAGGACACCGCAAAGGAGTCCCATCTGATGGGAAAGTCTCTTCTCACAAGTCCTGTCCTGCTCTGACTTTTCTCAACTCTTATTTTTCTTCACAATAAAATCCAAATGAAATCATGTGCTTAGTGACTCAGAGGGAGGGTGGAGAGTGGAGAGGATGATGTTTCTTCTTGCATCCATGTATAAAACTAATGCATTTTAAAGAGAAAAGCGGGGGGGGGGGGGGGGGGAGGAAAGAGAATTTGTAGAAGGAAGAGATAATTCTTACCAGGACATGCTTTAGGCAGGTAGGTGGGTGGGTGGCTATTTATAACCTGCCTTCTTCAGATCACTTTTGTCTCTTGCCACCATTAGTGATACACAGCAAGAGAACGATTCAGAAAATTCTATTTCCTAGAAGGCACCTGGCCCTCCCTTCTGCGGGGGAGTGAGGAAGAGCACCAGATGTGCTGAGGTTTGCCTGATTTAGCATTCTTCCGTGGGCACTCACCACAGTTCCTAAAAAGGAAATCATTTTGGTGAATTAATTTAACGAAGGTGGTGTTGAAGTTGGGTCTTTGTCTCTTATGCTGTGACAGTCAATAGACGTGCTGAGCTCACAGGCCCAATAGTCCATTCGGTTTCTGGACTTCAGAAAAATGGTTCTGGGAGCCTGGCTCAGCCAACTCAAATGAGAGGGTTCAGAAAGCAGGCATGCTTCTTCTTGGAGCACATCACTAGTAAATGGACTACTCTCCCAGTACAGACGTGTTGAAATTAATGAATTCTCTCCATTTCTTTTTCCAGTCTTGATGTAGGGGTTACCCACTTTGTAGCCATATTTTCCTTTTAGAAAATGACATGTGGGGGATTCCAAAGTGCCAGAACTAAGTTTTCCTCATGCCAATTTGCCTATTCCGTTCATTTGTCTGACATACCTGTATACCTGCTCCTGGAAATTTTCACATCTTAATAGAAGTGAAGTACATTTACTCATTACAAGGAAGCTATCAGTTAGGCATTCTTCACTCTTACATTAGTGAGCAAACAAAAAAAGGCTAAGTAATTTGTGGGGGGGGGATGCAAAGTTTCCCATTAAAGGGTTAAAGCATTTAAGTATGGACTGTATGGCTAACTCGTTCATTCATTCATTCAACAAATAACTTAAGATTGTGCTAGGGATAAAGATGTACATATTTCTAATAGAGATAGCTTCTTCCTACTTTCATAGTTTTTATAATCTGCCAATGAAACAGAATAAAACATTTTATCATACAAATTAATATAAATGCAATAAATAAATTGTGTAATGAGAGCATATAAATGAGAGATGCAATCTGATCTGAGTATTAGGAGAAGCCTCCATAAGAAGATATATTTAACCTGAGACATGATAGTTGTGTAAGAATTAGGTAGAAAGGAGAAATGGCAGATGAAATAATCAGATGGGAAGGAATCTCATATGTTGTGAGTGACAGAGGATCCAAATGGTTGAGAAGACACAAAGGAGAACAAAGGTGACATGAGGCTGTGGAATTAGGGAGGAACCAGAACACGCAACTAATACCAAGTCATACTATAGTTGATCTATATTCTAGGAATAACAGGAAGTCTTTGAACAGCTTTATCTAAGGATTATAGTTATAGGTTCAGAAAGGCATTTGAAAGATCACTCTTTTCAGGAGACTAGGAAGAAGAGGGACAAAAGAAAGGTAAAGACCTCTTAGAAGTTTCTGGAAAGTTTCAGTGGGAAACATTTGGGAGCTTAAATTAGTAATATGACAATCCTATATAATAAAAGCCTAATATGCTAAGTAACCAGGCATCCAGTTAGCCATTCAACCAATCAAAGCAAAAAATACTAATGATATGCTAAGACTGCTCAACTGCTCGCTATGATATGCACTGACCACCAGGGGTCAGACACTTCAACCAGTAGGTTACCTTGCTGCTGGGGTCCAGCCAATCAGACTGGACAAGTCCTGGAGCACTCCTGCAGCCCCTCGCTGGCTGGCCAACTTCCCGCATCCCTCCTGATCATGCAGGGTCCCTTGGCCTGGTTTATGCCGTCGGAATCTGGAACCACTCAGGGTATGTTGGAGAGCATGTTTCCACCTGATGGCAGAACAGCTGATCACTATGACGTGCACTGATCACCAGGGGGCAGATGCTCAATGAAGAAACTGCCTCAAGTGGTCAGTGTGCTCCCATGCGGGGAGCATCGCTCAGCCAGAAGCCGGGCTCACAGCTGGTGAATGCAGTAGCGGTGGTAAGAGCCTCTTCCGCCTCCCCAGAAGTGCTGAGGATGTCTGACTGCCAGCTTAGTCCTGCTTCCCCTGGGAAGTGTGCTTAAGCCATTAGTTGGACATCCCCTGAGAGCTCCTGGACTGTGAAAGGGCACAGGCTGGGCTGAGGGACCCCCCAAATACACGAATTTCATGCACCAGGATGCTAGTGATGATATAAAGTGCTTGGATTAAAAAAAAATTTATTTAGAAAGCATCTTCCCTGGATTTGAAGATTATTAGATACACATCTGAAAGTAAGATGCCCAAGATGACTGAGGTAACAGCCAGAAGCAAATGGGAAGTTGGAGGTTACAATCACTGAGATAGAAAACACTAGAGATAAGGCATATTTTCTGGGGAAAGATTATGAGGTCACTTTGCGATATATGGGGTTGCTTTTCATATAAAACATCTAGGCAGAAATGTCAAATTAGAGATTGGCTAAGAGGTAGAAAACTAGAGCCTGGAAAAAAATATTCACCTTGTAATTATTGATTTGAAAGTCATAGCCTTGGTGTGCAATGAAGCCATGGGCAATGAAAATATAACATAAAAGATCTAGGTTGGGACAGCAGATAGAAATGGGGAACCCAGAGGGTTTTTTTTATTTTATTTTATTATATTTTTATTGATTTCATAGAGGAAGGAAGAGGGAAAGAGATATGAAAATCAAAGATGAGAAAGAATCATTGATTGGCTACCTCCCACACACCCACTGCTATAGATGGAGCCCATAACCTGGGCATGTGCCCTGACAGGGAATCAAACCATGACATTCTAGTTCATAGGTCAACGCTCAACCATTGAGTCACACCAGCTGGGCTTGATATTTGTTTAGTTAAAGAACAATAATTAGAAAAGGCTTTTAGGAGTGACGAAAGGTGAAGATGAAAACAGGAGAATATTGGAACAGGCAAATTGAAGGAGCACTGTCTTAAGAGCCTAGTGGTCAACATTGCTCAAAGTCAAGTAAAGGTGGTGAATGCAAAGATTTCATGGGATAGGGATTTGGATATCACTGAGGTCTTTTGGACAATAACTGCTAAGAAGTGCTGGGAGCAAAAGCCAGAATTAAGTGGGTAGTAGAAAAATAGAGAAACATATATGCATAGGAAGTTCTTTCAGTGTGGTGAGAAAAAAAACTAGGACAGTAACTGGACGGGGGATATCTTTTTCCACCAACGACCTCCAAGGACTCTTTCAACTTCTAAACTCCACCAGTATTCACAATTGGCTATTCCCCCAGTAGTCAAGGCAAGTATTTAAAATTGTTTTTCTTAATTTTATGCCTTCTCAACTCATGACACAATGCCTATCACATTGTAGATACTACTCAAATACTCAATATTAGTTGAGAGATCAAAGTTGTTACTGGTGAATAACCTGTCAGAGCACATAAGGTACCCACAAGGAAATGAAAGAACTGTTTGACTAAGAGGTCTAATCAGAATAAAGGCCTAGATCTTTTTAAAAACCCCAATGTGGTATCATTGTGAGCAGAATGACTAAGTGAGCGGAAGGCTACAGAGCTCCTGCTAAGTGAATATATACTTATTAGCCAATGAAACCACCAAAACAGATATAACACACTGGAATTATTAATTTAGAAAGTATAATGGCCCAGCAGCCAGTAGCCCCTGTAGGCTTTTTTAACAGTTGGTATTGGAATGATCTTTCTCACACTTGAATGCTGAACAGAGTAAAGATGAAAGTGCTTTCCTTCTTGGGTTTCTCAAAATATATCAGCTTGATCAATTATCAACAACTGCCTGGTTACTGCTTTTAAAATCTGATTTGAGAAAAGCATGAGAATGTTCTTAAGCTGATGCTTAATATTTGGAAATATGCAAAGTCACTCAGCCTAGTGTGTTTGACACCAACATTGGGACTAGAAGACCTACAGTCTAAACAAGTTTTAACAATAATAGCTAATATGTAGTTTTGTTCACTGTTCCCCTAAATTTGCTTTTCCCTCCTGCCCAGTATCCTATTTCAAAAATAAGAATAACAATAAGATAATAATAATAAAAGTCAACATTTATTTGGTGCTTAATATATGCCAAACACTGAACATATATTATCAAATCCTCAAAATAATCTCCATTTTACAGAAGAAAAAACTGACCACAAAATAAATAGCCTTTACTCTGAGCTTACGTGTGTGTCCTCAAAACTAAAATGAGTCTCTTGTAAGCAGCATGTTGTTGGGTCTTCATTTTTGATCCATTATACATTTTAATTGGTGAATTTAGTCCATTTATATTTAATGTAATTATTGACAGGTAAGGACTTTCTAATACCATCTTATCAATTGATCTGGCTATTTTTCAGTTCCCTTGTTTCTTGTTTGTTTTTTCTTTCTTCGCCCTTCCCCCTTTTTCCTGACTTTCTGTGTGAAATTTGGATTTTTCATAGTGTATGCTTTGATTCCCTTCTTTTTATCTTTTGTGTATGTAATGTAGGTTTTTGCCTTTTTATTATTAGGAGGTTTACATAAAATCCCTTACAGATATAATGGTCTATTTTAAGCTGAGGACAACTTAAGTTTGATCACATACAAAACCTTATCTTTCTACTCCCTGCCCTCTATACCTTTTTGTGTATGTCACAATTTATCTCTTTTTATATTTTAAACAAATCATTATAGCTATAGTTATTTTTACACTTTTTGTTCTATAACTGATTAACACAAAATTATATTATAGTATTAGATTATTCTGAATTTGACTATTTACCTCTACCAATATGTTTTATGTATTTTATATTTTCATTTTATTGATTAATATCCCTTTATTTCAGCTTGAAAAACTTATTTCTGCATTTCTTGTAAGGTAGAAGGGGTGGTGGAAAACTTCTTCAGCTTTTGTTTGGAAAAATCTATCTCGCCTTTATTTCTGAAAGAAAACTTTGCCAAGTATTCTTGGTTAGCATTGTTTGTTTGTTTTTTCATTTAGCACTTTGAATACATCATCCCATTCTTTCCTAGACTGCAATGTTTCTGCTGAGAAATCCACTAATATACTTATGGAGTTCCCCTATATATGAGGATTTTTATACTTGCTGCTTTTAAAATTTTCTCTTTGGTTTGAGTTGTAGACAGTTTTATTATCATGTCTTAGAGAAGATCTTTTTGAGTTGAAATTTTGTGTTGACATACTAGCTTGATGAACTTGGATGTCTAAATCTCTCCATAGATTTAGGAGTTTCTCAATAATTATTTTTAAAATAAGCTTTCTGCCCATTTTCCCCATGGGAGCTAGTCTGGTACTAGGGTAAGCCTTTATTTAACCTGAGATTTCTGAGGCCAACCTGAAGTTTGAATCTGTGGGGACAGCCTGATGTTGGGGTGGGCTCAGAGCCTGCATCCATAGAATTTGTCTGGGGTCACAGGGTTGGCCCAGTGCTGGAGTGAGTCAAAAACCTTGGTTCCTAGTAATCATCCTGGCACTCAGCCCAACTGGGAGCCGGGTTTATGGATGTCTGTCTGGCTTGTGAGTGTTGACTGGGAGCCTGGAACTTACTGGAGCCTTGTAAACTGACAAACACTGGAGTGGGCTCGAGTCCTGGGTTGATGGGAGCCTGCCAGGGGCTACCTAGGACTGTGGGAGTGGTCCTGGAGCCGGGCAGACCTGAGCTGCGGCTCACAGTGAAGTCTGGCACTCGCTTTACTCCCCTATTTCCACATAGAAAGTCTCTCTCTTCATGATGAGCTGCCCAGGATTGGGGAAGGGGTGAGCAGGTACTGCAAATGTCTTTCCTTCCATCTTCAATGTGTCTTTTCTTATTTCTGTGCTTATGATCCCTCACCTGGAATTTTAGGTTCTTGCAAAGTTATTTTTTGTGCACAGATAGTTGTGCAATTTGATGTTTCTGAGAAAAGACAAGCATTAGAAATTTATAAACAGTCATTTTGCTGTTGTCACTCTTCTAGATATTTCTGTTCCTATTTTAAAGATAACAAAACTGGGCCTTCGAGTGGATGAATATGTGGCCTGAGGTCAAACAACTCATTAGAGCAGGTCAGGATAACAACTCAAATCTGTCTGCCTCTGAGGCCCATGTCCTTTCTCTCACAAAAGACCTTCGCTCCAGAAAGAAAATACGGTAAAATAAAAATAATCTCTCCTTTTAAAAGTAATTAATTATAACCACATTTGTTTTCCATGGGGTAAAATAATACACAGTGGTTGGAGGGAATAGTTTTATACTGCTCCCATCCTTATAAACACATCCAGATATTGAATCATATAAAAGGAACAATTGTAAAGTCAAAGCTTCCACCAATTCTTTGGCTGTCAGAAGGTGAAAACCCCAGAGAGATGGCCCTTTGTTTAGGAGAAAACCATAATAACTTTTTTATATTTTCAAAGACTGGCAGTCCTGGGAGTTTAGACAAACATAATTTATTCTATGTATTAAATGGAAAACTCAGAATTGGCGGTAGAAAGAAGTCTAGGAAATGGGAGACAGGGGAGAAGATCTGAAGAAAGTGAGGGGCTGGCTAATATGGAAGCCAGGAAATCCATAAAGAAAACTCTAACCATTGAGAAACCCTGTAAGGAATGAGTCTAGCACTGTGGGAAGTTGAGAACTTACTAGTAATTTTCCTTGGTCTTCTCTATAGTACCACCAAAATAACGTCTTGTGTTTTTTTTGTGTTTTTTTTTTTTCTCTCTCTAAACATTGAATCAAAACAAGAAAAGAAGACTACGGTAGGTTCCACATTTGAGTTGATTCAAACTAGAAACAGAAGAGACACAAGTCACAAGACATTAATGAGATCACGTGTCCCGGGAAGACTAGGGCAAATGTGTGATCCTCCCCAACAGGAATCCAAGCAGAGTTAATAGGAGGGTGTGTTACCACTGGGATTTATTTTTGGTGCATGTAACTAGCAACTTGAGCTTATTTATTTTAATGTCAAAGGAGCCCTAGCTGGATGGCTCAGTTGGTTGGAATATTGTTCTGTACACCAAAATGGTTGCTGGTTTGATTCCTGCTCAGGGCACATCCCTAGGTTGTGGGTTTAGTCCCAGGTGGGGGTGTATATGGGAGGCAACAGATTGATGTCTGTCTCTCTCTCTCTCTCTCTCTCTCTCTTCCTCCCTCCCTCCCTCTATAAGAATTAATTTTAATTTTAAAAAGCCCATAACCTCAGGTAAGAATTAAAACAAAAAAGAAAATGGTGGTCAGACACCATCAACTCTAGGATTTGTGAGACATTCACATGTCTAGTACATCCAAGATCATCAAGAGAATAGCAAAATCATACAAATTATCAAGAAAGAAAAAAGCTATTTGCCCAGAGTTCTTTCCAGAATTTTTTTTTACTTTCATGCCACCACACACCCTAGATTCCATCAACATCAAGTGACTTGCCCTGTGCAAATATGCTGTGATTGTTCAGACCATCTTTTTCTATCTACAAGGATTCTTCTTAGACATCAATGCCATTTTCTTATTAAGACTCTGCACTCTCCTGGTTCCTTCTTCCTCGATAGCATATTTCAAGTATACTGCCTGCCACCCTGTCTCCCCATCTAAAGTGTAAACTCCTTGGGTGAGAGGAAAAGACATTCCTGAAGTCGTCATTTCAGAAACCTAGCACAGGGCTGGAATAGAGATGTTTACTTCATCTTAATTCCATAAAGGAATGCTTAAATGGTGTCTTCTTAGGCAACTTGGTTTCAACTTTGTGGGGAAAGCTCAAATAAGATGCTTGAACTTTCTCTAGATTCTTACCCCACATCAGTCACCATCTGCGACAGAAAAGCAGTAATTATTTACTCTCTTTGAGGATTGTCATGTCGATAAAATCAGTCTCAGCCAACAGAACTCAAGGAAACCAGACGCAGCTCCTTTGAGTTCTTGAATTTACAGTTCAGTTTCTTGTCTCTTCTGAAGTATCCTGTCTGATAAAAGGGTAATATGCGAATTAACCGTGACTCCATTATAAAGATGGCGGTGCCCATAGCCACAAGATGGTGGTGCCCAGTCTTCTCAGTCCTGCCGGAGTCCTCCAGTCCTGGGCGGGCAGCCACTGAGAGCGGGCAGTGTGAGCGGCCTGGCGGAATGCTTGCTTTGTCAACGATGAGGCAAGCTTTCCACCCCAACTGCAGAGGTCTTCTGGGCAGTGGGCGTGGAGCAGCCAGGGGGGTGGGGAGGACACTTTCCCTGCCACCCTGGTGATGAGGCAGGCGTTCTGCGCCCAGCCGTGGATAGGCCTCTGGGCCGAGGAGAGCCTCTGCAGAGAGCTACTGGCGCACGGATTCGTGTGCAGGGCTACTGATTGGTTTCTAATTTGATTGTTTTTATTTTTAGTTTGGAACTAACTTCAAGCTTAAAGAAAGTTTGTAAGAAAACAACAACAACAAAAACACCTATATACCCTCATTCAGACTCAGCAGTTGCTAAAATGTGACACATTTATCGTTTTCCCTTTCTCTCACATACATAGTTTTCCCTTAAATGAGTGATAGTGAGCTGCAGACACCTTCCCTTTTATTGGTAAATACTTCAGTACATAGTTCCTCAGAGCGAGGACATTCATCTCCATAACCATGGCATAATTGTGAAAATCGGGAAATTTAACATTGGCACAGTATTATAAATTAGGCTGTGGATGACAGTGAAATTCCACCAGTGATCTCTTTTATAGCAATTTTTCCTCGTCCAGCATCTAATTCAGGACCATATATTGCATGTAGATGCCATGTCAGTTGGCCTCCTTATTTGTAGTTGGTTTGTCAGCCTTACTGTCTTGCATAACATTGAAGCTTTTGAAGAAGACCAGCCACTGATTATGCAGACAGCTCTTTGGGTTTGTCTCATAATTTCTAATGATTTGATTCACTTTAAACATTTTGGGCAGGATGTCCATGCATATTATTAGGAGTCTCCTGGTGTTGGTTCATCCATTTTTGAGGATGTATTCTTCACCAACTACTTAATATTTGCAAATGGAAAGATAGTAACTCTACCATAGATAAACCTGCTAAATGCACCTTAATCAGGTGATCAAAGTTGACATTGCCAATAGCTGTTTTTTTAAAAGCTACCTCAATAAAAGATTCAGCTGTTTTTGAGAACTGATTTGCCACTCATGCAAATTACACATTCTGATTTTAAAAAGAAAAATGCATGAAAAAAGTGATGTTGTCACTTGTTGCAATATTTACTTACCACCCAGTGCATAAGATCTGGAATAATATTAGTAATATTCAATGAATTCCAAGTCTTTAATAATACGTTACCATCAACACACCCACAAATCTTTTTTTAATCTTCCAATGATCTCATGTACCAAAGAGGAAACAAGAGTAACTTGGCCACAGTCACAAAGCTCAAGTCGTGTGAGTGTGTATTTGTGTCCTTGCAAGCCCGTGTTCTTCCCTCTGCACATACGTACACACAACCAGGACACAGGTGGGCATTCTCCATTAGGAGAGGGCTCGGTAGGAGCTATAGGGAAGGCCGGATGCTAATTCAGTTTTCAAACTACCAGATGGCACTTCCTGTGACTTCCTCATTAAAGTAGTAATCAGAGAAAGGATGCAGAAGAAAGCTGTGGAGGTGAGGGCAGGTAAGGGAAGCTAAAAGGCTCCATTTTCCTCCACTGGAGACCAGCAGTGCTCTCTGGCCTTACAAAGCAACCCATGCTACTCTGGATGTAGGTATGTCTGAGTAACTGAGCCCCCACTGGTGACTCAAGCACCCTTTTAGAGAAAGCAGGCAGCCCCGTGTTTCCCAGTAGACAGGAATTTAAAAGCAGCCACTCTGTAGAGCACTCTGGCTTAGAAAGCCCCTAAATCCTCTCAAGAGCTCAAACTCTTGGTTTCAGTCATCTTCAAGTTCTAGATAAACCTCATCTATGGGTGGGAATCTCATGAAGCAGACATGTGGAAGAGATGTGGGATGGATGTCATGTTACCCATGGAATCTGTGAGAGACGTGGAACAGGATCAGGCCGAGGGAAGGAGGTGGCAGAGCTGTCTGCCTTCTCTCCTGAGCTGGGTAGAAGACACTCTGCTTCTTCCACGAGGAGTCTACCGTGCAAACTCACCGCTACATTAAAGCCCGCGAGAAGGGAAAGATGGTTTGCTGTTTTCAACATGTGCAGCCACCGAGAGGGACGAAGGAACTAATTGACTTTTGGGGAAGTAGCCATCTGAGTTCTACAAAGGTTGGAGGGGCTAGAAGATTCCTCCAGAAAGGAACCGCAAGCACTGGAGAGAGAGTGGGGTCCTTAAACAGTAGGCTGCATCACTAGCAGGGACCATCCCACAGGGTTCCTTCCTTCTCCCTCTTTGCCCTGGGGTGGGGGGATGGGTGAGCTGCTGCAAAGCGCTAAGCTAGCCAGATCACTTTCTTTTTATTAGCAGCTGTCACATGCTCTGTCTGGCAGCAGTGAGCTAAATCTACTGCTTGGGCCACTTTGTCACAGCTCTCTTCTCAAGGGATGCATTCCTTTATCCTTGCTGACTCTGGAAAGGTAGCCTGCTTTGCTCTCCTTCTATATATATATAGCTGCCACCCCCAATTTCTTTATTTGGGCATCCATTTGGGAGAGTAGAGCCCATCCTCTCCAGCTACCCATTTCTTCTTTCCCTTGAAGACAAGAGTGTAAGACCAGGGAGCAGCACCAGGGCAGGCCCTGAAGTCAGACACAGCGGCCTTCAGCAGGGTCCCTCCTGTTACAAAGTTCGGTGATGCTAGCCAAGCCTGTGTGTCAGTTTCCTCATCTGAAAAACTGGCAGATAATGTGTAACATGATTCATGTCCCACATAATGCATGCAAAGCTCTCCACCAGAGCAAGGACTTAATACACTTTAGGTATTAGTTGGTACCATCATCATCTTGCTGCCATCCTCATCTTCATCATCATTGCCTCCTTTAATCAGTGTGAAGAATTAGACAAGAAATAGAAAGCACGGGTTTGGAAATCTCTACCAAGTTGAGAATCTTACTGACTTCTCACTGTGATTTTTCTTTGGGAATACATCCTGGTCCCCATTTCCCCTTGCTAGAAATGCTTTTTTTTTTTTTTTTTTTTTTTTTTTTTTTTTTTTTTTTTTTTGTCAAGAGAGGATGCAAATTTACATGGAGGAAGCGGTAAGGAGAAGGAAAAGGTCTCTGCTTGCTTTCACCCCCAACACCTGGCAAAGCTGAGACGAGGTGAGGACCTGAAGCAAATAGGGCAGGGAGGGGCTGCCAGAGGCTCTCAGTTCCCCTTGGCCCTGGGCCCCAGGTAGCTGGTTCAGCACTTGGGCTCCTCTCTGTCTTGGCACCAACCACACCGTGTTCATTGCGTGCTCTACTGCTGGGGCCTGTCTTCTGCTCTGCCTCCCTGGTTAGTACACGGGCACCTCTACAAGGGGGGGCATGTTCTACTCAGCCCCGTGCTCCTCAGCCCAAGCACCGGCACTGCAGAAGGAAGGAGCTCGGTCAGGGCCCCTCCTTCTCATCACCTGTGTCAGTCTCACTTTCTGTTCCTCTTCTTCAGTTCAGATTCTCATTAGAACACACTCGTGGATGTAAATCATACTCTACACGCTGAACACATCCTCTCCAATGGGGAAACGGGCTCCAAGAGGGAATGCCCCTCTTCCGGGATCTCACAGCAGGTGGACAAGTGACGAAAACCAGAGGAGGACCAGGTGTCAAGTCTTCCGGTCCACATTCCCACCCAGCTTCTGTGTTGAAGAGCTCGGAGACTTCATGGGGTGTTTATGAATCGGGGGAACCCCAGACCGGTGACTCACTGCAGAGAACTATACTGTTTCCTCAGGAAGGAGGACCTGTACCCCTTCCTTCATGCCCTTCTTGATGAAAACTACCCTGACAGTCGGTGACCACATCTTTCTCCTTGTCACTTACACCTCCCTCGGGTCTTCCCTTCCTCCTCCCCCACCTCCACCTTCTGACAAAACTGCCTCATTCTGCTCATACAAATTCTTTTGTACTGATTTGAGGGTGGATGCTAACATGATCATGTCTGTATGCATTTTTAGAGGGATTTTTGAAGGCCGCTATCTTTAACCAAAGGAGTGATTGCAAGTTCTGAGGCCAGCAGGGCAAACATGAATAGGTGGCATTCCAGGTTACATGGGGACTGGAGCAGAGAGAAGGTCATACTACTGGGCATGATGCAAACCGATGAGGCCTGTGACCTTGAATGTGTTGATAGGTCAGATGATTGTTAATGAAATAAATATGTCTGAACCAGAGACTCTAAAATACTCCCCAGTTGTGCCTGAAGTCTCGACCACATTGCCTGCTCCTGCCACAGAAACAGAAATAATAGTCATGGAAGTAATAGTCGTCAGAGCTATCAGTTGTCTGTTGATTGTTTGCTATGTGCAGGTAATATATAAACCTCAGCAACCCTTCAAGGTAGGTGTTATGAAGAAAGCCAAGCTCAGAGAAGCTGAATAACATTCTAAGGCTCAGAAGTGGCTTTGAATCCAGTGCCTCCTTACTCCGAAGCCCCCCTCTGCAATTCCCTCCATGGTGCCCATGATCACAGGGATCTGTCCAGTAGATGGTTTGGGATTAGGGAAGGGAACACAGGGAGGGAGGAGAATGCCCAAAAAGGGGTCACTGCCAGGACACGTTTGCAGGGTGTCCCTTTAGCGTTTGTTAGTTTCCTTTAGGTCCCAAGGTGTTTGAAAAAGCAGGAGTGTACAGTCAACAAAGCATTCTCAATTCAGCTGTTCTCTCATTCCTCTTAGCCTCCTCACAACTTGCTCTGAAGACAGGCTTGCCACTGCCACTTCCCTCTTTTGAAGTGTTTTAAGTGATCATGATAAAGTGTGGCCACATCATTGAGTGTACCGAGCAAATCTTCTCCCAGGCAAGCTTCGTGCTTTTAAAACTGTAGACCTAGCACAGACCAAGCCCGAGCGCACTTCTCTCTGTGTTGGGCCATTCACCCAATCATTCCTTGGCAGAGTGAGTTGCTCTTTCTGCAAAGGCCAGCCCCTTCCATCTCCCTGAAACATCCAGGTTTAACCTAACTGCCCAACTGGTCTTTCCTTCTATCCTGACCTTGCTGTTGAACACTGAGCTTATTTAGTCTCTTCCCATAAGCTGCCTGCAGACAGTGAGCTGTCTTCCCTCTCCATCTCATCACGTTGCTGGGCACATTGATAAATGGTTCTGAAATAAATAATGTGGCCATCTATCAAGGAGACAAAAATCATTGGTTACCTCACAAGCCATCAGTGAATCAGTTCCAAGTAACACAAGAATTAAATGGTGTAACTCAGCTCTTCCATGTGGTGTATAATGTCCTTTCCAGGAGGAAGGAACACCAAGTAGTAAGGGAGCTCTGTGTCCAAGGCCGTATTCCAAGGGCAAAAAGTGAGAAGCCAGGAGCAGCTGAAGGTATGGGAAGAGGTGGCAACACATTGTGCTGTGTGTTCGCCCTCACAGGGATTTAGATTGTATACCACAGAAGAGGAAGAGTCGATGAAGGTTTGAAACAAAGGAACAGTCCTATTTCTTTTACTTGTTTTTTACTGCAAAGGATCAAGTGGATCTCAGGGTTTATCACCGTGTCAGACCTCAAATTTCAACACAGGACAGGGTCTAGAAAGTGCAAGAGGCAACAACAAACCCACATCACTCTGACAAATAACAAAGATAGTTTTATTTTTTTTCACAAATAAAATTTCTGAACCAACCATGATTTAGGGGATCACTACCATTCATTGAACATTTACTCTGCTTTAATTTAACATCTTAGTTCTTTACACATACCCAGCTGTTAATACCCCTTGAAGCCACTCACAGATATGGTCCAATTTTGTCACAAATTCTGCATCTGGTATGTTTAGAAGCATGTTTCCACCTTGTTCTGGATGGCATCACATAGGCATTTTATACCCTGTTCTTTTTGCTTCTCAACTCAAGAATATATTTCTGACAATCCACCTTGTTCTTTTGAAGTTGATTGCAGCGTAATAGACAATTCTGGGATGGAAGTCTGGGTCCGGGAAGGAGGCTGGGTCCGGGATGGAGTTCTGGGCCTTAGAGAGAATTCTGGGTCCTAGAATGGAGGTCTAGGCCCCGGATGGAGGCCTGGCCCCTGGGATGGATACCTGAGCCCCAGATAGAGGACAGGTTTCAGGGATGAAGGTCTGGGCCCCTAATGTTGGTCTGTGACCTGAATGGAGGTCTGATTCCTGGGATAGAGGTATGGGCCCCGGATAGAGGACTGAATTCTGGGTTGGAAGTTGGGCCTGGGATTGAGGTCCAGTACCTGGCATGGTGAGTTAGGACCCGGATATAGGTCTGAGACCTGGGTGGAGATCTTGGTCCCAGAATGAAGGTCTGGGCCTCAGATGGAGATCTGGTTCCTAGATAGAAGACTGGATTCTGGGTTGGTGGTCTGGTCCCTGGCATGGAGGTCTGGCCCCAGATGGAGGTTTGGGTCAGAGAAGGAGGTCTGGGTTGGGAAAGGAGGTCTGGATCTGGGAAGGAGATCTGTGTACAGGATGGAGTTCTGGGCCCCAGAGTGAGGTCTGGGTCCTGGGATGGATGCCTGTGCCACAGTATGGAGGTCTGGGACCCAGATTTAGGTCTGAGCCCTGGAAGGAAGTCAGGGTCCTGGGATGGAGGTCTGGGCCCAGGTATGGATGTTTGCTAACTGAAAAGATACATGCAAAGTCTGTTTATCCTGAAACTGGAGCTGCTGAGGACATTCCTAGCACCTCCGGCAGCCTGTGCTCTCTGCTCCGGGGGCTGAAGACAGTCCTTTTTAGGCCTCTGCACAAGGGCAGAGCTGTTCTAGGAGCAATATGGCCACACAGACACCCAGAACTCATTCCATATCTGCAAGGGGGTGGGGATGAAACCCTCTGTTACTTTGTTGGCGTTTCTGTGTGATGGTCCTAATCTGGGCATCCTTTCCCTATAGAATTCTTAAAAGCAATTCCTCTTAAAAATCAACCTGGGAGTCAGTTTGTCTATCCTATTCCTTGACTTGCGCAAGTGATTGCTTCTCAGACGGTATGTTTGAAGTCTTCCTCTCACTTGGGAGATGCTGCTAGGTATTTGAGCCATAGAAAATATTTTGAATTCCAGGACTATTACATAATAGACTTGTACAAGGTACTTAAACTCTAAAATGGGAAGGGCTTGGTGAGCATGTAATGTATGATTATGCGTTTAACATTAAACACAAAATGTCCATAATATATCGGTAAGCTCCTTTCCCCTTTGCAGAGGTCCTGCCATATTTTATTTTTGCTCAGATTACTGTGATAGTATCTTTCTCAATTAATCTTTTCTTTCACTCTAAAAGTCAATTTTCAAATTTTGTCATCAAAGATTACTTCGGACATTTGATCGGGTTCTGCAAGGCCCATTGACAATCTGGGTCAAATTTAGAGGAAAGTGGTCAAAATTAGGAACACACTTGAAACCATACAACAGCAGGAATGTTTTTAAAATCTGATTGTTTTCCCTAGAAACAAGGATTTTTGTGTCATCATTTTCAGCTATTAAAAGGATTACTACGTGAAAAAGGAATTACACTTTTTAATGAAGTCGTAGTTCTAGAATTCATACCAACCAGTGGATAATGCAGGGCAACATATTTGTAACAACTGGAGAAAACTCCATAAAAGCCCCCAGAAAAAAGGGGGTTGATTTGGGAGGTAGTGAGGGCCAGTAGAAGTGCTCACCCATAGGTGGGTGTTGGCCACAGGGTGGAGATGTTGTAGAAGGTATGCAGGTATAGCCAGAGGGGGTTGGGTTTCATGACCTTGACAGTCTTTGAACTCTGAGATTTTGTAAGCCTACAGATTCATACTTGTTTGTATCTAGTCTGTGCTGGCTGTGAGCGGGTGCAGGGCTGAGCTTTCAGAAAACTTCCTAAGAAATGATCCTTGGTGTCAAACAATAGAATAACCAGATGCTCTAGGTGAAAAAACTTTGAGCACCCCTCATTGAACAGTCACTGTAAAAAATGTGCAGGCTAAACATGAAGCCAGGAGAGTTCAATGACCTTCTAAGGACCCCATAACAAATTGTCAGCCAGTCAGAGCTCAACATTTTAAATGAGAGATAAGATACATACATAACCTCTTTAAGGAATACTTTGAGGAAACCCCCTTTCTAAAAAGAACACTGACATGAATATGAATACTCTCTTCTCCCACGCTGCTCTGTTTACTTAGTAAATATGGAACACACTTGCCTTTTTTTTATTATTAACCAGATGAACCATGTTTGGCAAAGACAATAAAGCAAGAGCACAGTCCTGCTCCTAAATTTCAGAGATAAATTGACCTGAACCCATAAATTAGCAAGATTTCAGAGAAGCTGCAGGAATATCATTCTTCACTTGAGCTACTGCCCCAGGAGGCATTTGGTAGCAGATGGGGGCTTCTGGGAGAATGGAGGAAGCCTGTTTCAGGTAACAGTGATCCTCTCTGGCAGAAAGCAAAGAAGTTTGCAGAATACTCCCCTTGTAGAAGACAGGAACATGTGCAGGTGTTTCTCAGAATGGGGGTGGAACCAAGGAAAGTACCCACCTCCAGTATTTGTATGGATTTTCAGCATTTTAATAGCAAAAAAAGGAATCAAAGCAACTATGGAAATAATTCATGGAAGCAACTTTAACAGTGGAGTAAACTAAGCTAATTGAACATATCGGGGCATAAAAATCTCTATGAAGGAAATAACCAGTCTGGTGTGGATCCCCTAAGTCTAGCAAATCTTCCCATCTCTAGACCCTGAGTTCCAGACCAGTCTACAGCTGGGTCGTTTCTGTACCTCTCATGTCTCCCACCATCACTCACTCAGAGGAGGTAGTCTGTTGACTAACAACCTGCAACACAGCAATGGCCAAGACTGATGGCCCAGGAGTCATGATGAAGAAAGCAAGGCAATCTCTCACAAGAATGACATTAGACATGTTCACATCCGTCTTTAAGATGACCCTACGAACAACTCAACATCAAGGTCTTCTGTAACCCATCTCTTCCCCCCCCCCCCCCCCCCATTCAAAGGTCAGAATGTACTGAGTGAATTTTTGTTAAACTGAAGCAAAGCTGCTCTTTCCTGGTGTTCCCTAGTGATACGGAATTGCAGTCAACTCGGACCTTCTGCTAGATGGACTGGGCACTACTACTGTGTGTTTGCAAATGTAGGCTGTGCGGGCATGGGCACAGCCTTGGGAATGTGGCTTTAGAATCATAAGACAAATGATTATCTTATCCAGGAAAGTTCTTTTTTCTAACTACATGATTACAACTAGCTCTGAATTTCTGTAACTATGCCTAGAGGCGTGCCTAGAAAAATGTTTTCCCACTAAAATGTTTACCAAATGTTATTGGTTATCATGACCAACAAATTTTTTTATTTCTGCTTCTTTATTAAAACCTGGCTTAAGAAATCCACTTCAAGATGACTTTAAGATGTGAAATGGGAGTGTTAACCGGTTTGGTCCAATGGATAGAGTGTTGGGTCCCAGGTTCGATTCTGGTCAGGGGCATGTACATTGGATGCAGCCACATCCCCAGTAGGGGGTGTGCAGGAGGCAGCTGATCAATGTTTCTAACTATCCCTCTCCCTTACTCTGTAAAAAAATCAGTAAAATATATATATATATATATTTTTAATATCTGAGATGAGAGCTGGTTGGAACCTCTGGAAATGCAGGATCCTGGTGCTTAGATAGAACGTATCTGTTCACCGCTCCTCACTGTCTATAGACCCGCACCTTAACTGTCTGTCTTCCTGGCTGGACCCATGGCCTGTAAAATACCATGGAATGCAATTAGATTGTTTAATGGAATCTAACTCCAGTTAATGGCGGGGGATCTTCCCAGAGTGTGTAGTATTTTCTGTCACTCCGAATTTGTTCATTTCAGTTGAATTTAGCCACAGCTTTACACCGCTCTAACTTCAAGGAGGGTTTTTCCCCAGTCTCTCTGTTCTGCTGAATTGCATCTTCAGGCCTGTTCAAAAGAAAGCATGAGAAATGAGAAATGCTGTGATCAGGTTCCTTCCCATCCTTGTTGCTGGTAGTAGATTTTTTTAAAAGTTGAACACAATAATGGTCATATGACTTGTAAGAGGCTCTGGGAGAAAATGTGTAGTCAGAAGAGAAAAATGTATCGAGCCCTAAGCTAAGAGAACTGTAGACCTTAAATAGCAAAGTGGCCTCTCTCTGGTCTCCAGGTCTTCCTCTCTCTGCTGAGGGGGGGAGGGTGGTGTGAGGCCCTCCCAGGGGTCCTGAGGGCATCCTGTATCTTTCATCTCTGTGCACTTCCGTTTCCTTCTCCTGCCAGTTTCACATAATGGGGTTTTAAACTTTTAAATTACAAATGGAGAAGACACCAAATGTTTTTTAAAAGATCAACAATAAAGCACAATTTGAACTTGGGATATATCTTATTCTTTTGCTACTGATGCTTTTATTGCACTGCATTTAAAGCCAGTTTGAAAATTAGTTTATGTTTTCTGCATACTCAACGACCAGTGATGGGAAATTACCCAAGATACTAATGGAACAAAATTCTTAAACTTTTCTGGGAAATTCCATTTTTTTCCTGGCGGCGAGTAATGTTGAAAATCTTAAATTCAAACTCAGACAAAAGTATATGTAATACAAATAAATGCTATTAAAAATAGTACAGTGTATTTAAAATAAAAAAGCAAAAATGTATTGGCTAATAAAGTCTATATCTGGTTTCTGCTAAAAACAGTTTAATATGTCTGGTGTACCTGTGTCATTTTATAGCTTGCAAAAATCTGGAAACATATGCTCTAAAAGAGATAACTAGGGAGGGAGGATTTGGAAAATATATAATAAAATATGCATATTATACATCATAGGTATTTTGAAAAAGAGCTAGAATAAAATTCTGGGATCAGACCCTGCCTAATATGGCTCAATGGGTTGGAGCATTGTTCTGAAAGATTGAGTGTTCGATTCTCAGTCAGGGCACATACCCAGGTTGTGGGTTTGATTTCTTCAAGGGACAGTAGGGTTGCATACAGGAGGCAACCAATCAATGTTTCTCACATCAATGTTTTTTCTCTCTCTCTTCCCTTGTCCTTTCCCCTTTCTCTCTCTAAAATAAATAAAAGTATGTCCTCATGTGAGGAGTGAAAAGGAAAATTCTGGGATCAGCATTGTTTTCTTATTTTATGCATCAATTACACTTTACATTCAGTATTATTTTTATTAATTTCAGGTATACAGCATAGTGGTTAATCATCGTATTCCCCCCAATATTTTCAATACCCACTTAGTACCCTGCATAGTTATTACAATATTATTGACTATATTTCCTATGCTGTATCTTACATCCCTGTTACTATTTTGTAGCTACCATTTTGTATTTTTTAATCCCTTCACCATTTTCATCCAGCCCTCACCACCCTCCTCTCTGGCAAACATAAGTCTGTTCTCTGTATCTATTAGTCTGTTTCCATTTTCCATTTTGTTTATTGGTTTATTTTGTTCTTTAGAGTCTACATAAATCAAATAACATAGTATTTGCCTTTCACTGACTAATTAATTTCACTTAACATAATACCCTCTAGATCCCTCCATGCTATCACAATAGTAAAATATTGTTATTTTTTGTGGTTGAGTAATACCCCACTGTTTATATATGTGCCACAATGGGATTAGCATTTTTGTACTTGGATTGTATAATCAAATAAAGATTGTTGTAAAGCTTGGAAGTTGGTAAACCACATCTAAAGTAATGATCCATGTCCACATTGGGTTCCATTGATTGGCAGCTGTGGTCAGCATAGTGTTCAGGGAAACAGATGGTACCATGACACCTTGAAAGGGAAGTGGAGGAAAGACAAAACCTTGGTGAATGTTTGCAGCTGGGAATATGATATCATGTGATTTGGGGATATGAAAGATTTTTCTGGGCAGGAGTTATTATTTGGCTGAGAATTCTGTACATATAACCTCATGTGAGTGTTTAATGAGTTGCCACCAGCTTGGGGGTTGCCCGAAGAAAGTCCTCAGTGATATTCGCCCTGAGATAGGCTCAGGATAAATGAGTACAACAAAAGCATCTCTGAAATAATGGCCTCCCCACCTTGAGCTATCCATATTTAGGCATTATTTCTCTATGATATAAATTTGCAGTCAACCATATCTGAGAAATCTTCACATTAATTTTTTTCTTGCCTCCACAGAAAGGCTGGGTAGTGCTTTGAAAATCAATGTGCTCTATAAGTGTAAAAGTCAACACTAGCATTGCCATCAGCATTAACATTTTTCAGTTTGCCTTTTACATAAGACCTCATGTTCATGGATAACTTTCCTTCAGAAATCTTAATGGTTTGTTGTTAACAAATTACATTTGGTTAGGAATTTCTATGGAGAAAAAATTATAAGAAAAATCCCCCAAAGAATTTTAGAAATATATCTTTCTGCAACTTACCTCAGAGCTTATTGCTTTTATTGAAATTATTTTTAAATTTTTTTCATTTTAAACTTTGAGAAAAAAGGTTTGCTAGTCTATTTGTATTAAGATGATGTTTCTGACTATGCATAAAACTTTCTTCAATCTTTCTTGGCTTCACCAAACAGTTATTGATAACTTAACAGAAAAAAAGGGAAATATTATGTATTAAATATTATTATTTGCAAGGCATCATGAGAAAAATTTACAAGCATTATTTGATCAAACTACTCATGATGAGCAAATGTACCCCCATCTCCAAGAGCTTGTAAGTGACACATAGCTTGAAAAAAGATAAAGATGAGATTTGACCAACTTTTGAAAATATTTCAAGATTTCCCCTGGACCTGACCTCTTGTTCTACCAAGTAATGACCCTGAATGCTAAGTATGCAAGGGATAGAGTTTCTGAGAATTCAATGGTTCTAGGCAAAATAACTGAGTGAAGATCCTGACCTGGGAGAAGCTTGCAACATAGGAGTTACTAAAAGAAGGTCACCAAGGCAGAGGGGACAAATGGAGTCAAGAATTCCACTGATTTCAGGACACACAAGACCCTATGGACAGCGGTAAGGGTATTGATCGTTATACTAAGAGATATGGTCATCTATAATGGTTTTCTCTAAAATTATTACAAGAGCTTGTCCATGATTTAAGATGATGTCTCTGACTACCAAGTGGGGAATGGCTAAAAAGAGGTAAAGTCATTAGTTAAATGGCTTTAACAGAGATCTAAACAAAAATTGTAGTGATTTGGACTTCACTATTGGATGTGGAGAAAGAAGTAAAAAGCAGACAGAGTCAAGACATAAGAAAAATCAATATGATGTGCTAATTGATTCGATGGGGTAAATTGAGGATATCAACCATGATGTCAGGATTCTGACAAAAAAATCTAGAAGATATCAGAATTTTTTATGATTTTTTAAAATTTAAACTCAATTTTTTTCAGCTTTTAGGTCATTTAAAAGAGGATATCACACTAAAGGATTCTAATCCAGAAATTTTCAATTAGCCAATCTAATCAGAAAATTTCTCAAAATATCAGTGAACTTTGCTAAATCTCTGTAGAGAACATACATGTTTATTTCTTTTACCCAAATATCTAACCTGGTAATATTAAAATTAGAATAAAATTAAAAGTGATTCTGTTCTAACAATTTAGAAAGTCTGCTAGCTACACACATCTGAATGAATGCATGTAGTTATCTGCTCTTTTGTTGAATCAAACCTATGAACTGTAAAGACAATAAAAAATAGAAGAGAACTGAAGAACTATCAATGAATGTGAGAAAGATTGAAAATAAATGAAGGAAATAACACTGTTAAGAAATTGAACAGGAAGTACTTATAAAGAGGAACCTCATTGAGGAGTAGATCATAACTTTATAATTTATGTTACAGAATACAGCAAGTCTCAAAACTTGGCAGTAACATATGACACTAAATGTGAGAGTAAATAAGAGGCCCAACACAAGGGGATTCTTAGGACCTGAACTGGGGCTCTTAAACACCAATATAACCATGTTTTAATTCACAACATCAGGCAAAATTTCTGCCTACTCTGGTAAGAAATTTGTTCTGTAGATAAATTGAGCCAGAGAGATCTTAGACTGAAGGATGCTAGGCTAAGAGGAAATCAAGAAGATTAAGTATAATGAAGAGACTCTCCACATCTTCCCTTTTCTAGATTCCAGGAACATGGGTGAAATTTACCACCACCACCCACCCCTTTCTTTACACTCTCAACAATGTCTTTCTCAAGTAGGAACTTTTTAGTGTTCTCTGGAAAAATTAAATAGCCCCTGACAATGGACTTGAAACTACAATTAGTTGGGTATATCTCAATCAAATAATTACCCCTACATGCCACCTCATTAAAAAATGCACCAGTTGGTAAATCCAACCCCTCCCCCCCCCTGCCAAAAAAGAGCATCTCATAAGCTTTGTAGCACTTCATTCTCAAATACCAATGGACAAACAAGGATTATCAATAAATGAAGAAAACCTTTCCATTTGAAACAAAGATCAAAAGAAATAGGAAAAAAGAAACTTGAGGAAACATAAATATTATAATTATTATTCTCAGATAGGTGAATCAAGAAAATATAACCATGGAATTAGAACAGGAAACTATATAAAAGGAACAATCAGCTAATAAGAACTCCTTTCTATTAAAATTTTGATGACTAAAAAGAATCTATTGTATTTAGAAATTAAACTTGGTTCATTCTCCCAAGAAAGTAAACAAAAAGGTAAAAAAAAAAAAAAAAATGGGAACATTAAAGCTGGTTAATAAATTCAAATTATCCAATATGAAGTAACTGGAATATCAGAAGAAAAGAAACAAATCAGAAGAAAGGAAATTATAGAAAAAAATAAACCAAGAAAATATGTTAAAATTGAAGATTTAATGTCTCTGGAGTGTTAACACTAATAAATGAGGAGATATGAATACCAAAGCATACCATTATGAATGTTCAAAATAATAGTGAGAAAAGAAAAATTCTAACATTTTCAGGAGAATATAGTAGGCTCCATATTTAGATGAGAAATAGGATAGCATTAGCATCTCAAAAGTAACCCTAGAAGCCAGAACTTCATAAGTGAATGTCTTCAAAAACTATTTAAAAATAATTTTATTTGTATTTATTTTCTCAGTAAAAGGATAAATCAAAAGATGAACAATGAGTAAAACACACAGTTACAAAACTATCTGTACTATATGCAAGTTCAAAAAATTATCAAAAGTAGAAGACATAATCCAGGATAAAGATTTAGAGAAATCCCAGGATCACCTGAAAACAACCATTCCAAATGAGATAGTAGAAGGTTGTATTCTGAAAAATATGTCTAAATAAAATGGAAATTATGGAATATATGCTGTGATTGATCATGAGGTAAATAATAAACAAAAAGGCTTTACATTCTTTTAAAGGGTTTGAGAAGAAATACAAATAGAAAAACACACACATAAAAACCAAGCAATCAAGCACAGCCAGTGTGGCTCAGTGGTTGAGTGTTAATCTATAAACAAGGAAGTCACAGTTTGATTCCCAGTCACATGCCTGAGTTGCAGGTTTGCTCCCTAATGTGGGCATGGAAGAGGCAGCAGATCAATAATTCTCTTTCATTATTGATGTTTCTATCACTCTCTCCCACTCTGAAATCAATAAAAATATATTTAAAAAAAATAAGCAATCAAAAAATAACTACAAGAGAAAACTTACTTAAAATTTAAAAGTGCTCATAATTTTGAACTAGTAATGAATAATACTATATATTTAGAAAATATAAAATAATATATAATAATTTAATTATAAACTATTACATTATGATATTGTGATGTAGCCATAAAAAAGGAATTAGATAATTGTAATAAATCTTTATCACTAATATACAAAATCAAGAAATGGTTTTGTATGCAGACTATTTAATTTAAGTTAAACTAGAAGAAAAAATTGAAATAGTTGCTTTTGATTACAGGGACTTAGCAGAGAAGGGATACAACAGATAAAAATATTTTTAAAATTATAACCTTATATCATGGATACATTTTATTAAACATGCAAAATGTTTTAGATAATTACAAATATAAAAGTAATTTATGAAAAACATTGGGAAAGATAGCTGAGAACTTTTCTAACTGAAATGAGTTTGGTTCTTGCTGACTGCGACTCAATTTTAAATAATGAAACCTTTACTCTGTGTATTTTCAATTTGAAAATGACATTTGTCTGCTTTTGTTTTGCACTTCACTCATCAAATACAGAATAAACCGATATCACAATCAAACAACCACAGGAACTAATTTTCTGAAATAATCCCTAGTTGAGTTGCTTTTCTAATGAAATGATAATGGTCTAAGTGATTTTGTCTCAAATCAACCATTACCAATCATTGTCTAGACTTTCTGTGAACAGTCTTTCCATCAT